ACCCCATGAAGGGCAAGTCCCTGATTTTACTAAAGGCGATACTCAACACTGTAAATAAATAAGAAAATTAGTGTCTTGAATCAGAAAAATATCCACATTTCTAGGGCTATTCGGTTGACAAAATATGATAATGTGCTTTTCTATTACACGTTCCTGGATCATGTGAACAGCACAGGAATGTAGGTGGGACCTTTCCAAACCCTTCTGGAGAAGCCAGGATCACGTTCTCTTCCTTAGTGACTCTTCCCTGCTTTACTTTACCACTGATGGTTTCCTTTGTTTCAAAGGAAGCATTGCATAAAGAAATTAAAATGGCTTTACTGATGTTGGGGTTTCTTTATCCCAGACACTTTTTTGCATGTTTAATTAATGTTATAAATTGTACATAATTATTCTATACACTTTGTGCAAATATTTTTCACTCCTTTTGACAGTGCTATGTGTGGGCTCTCAGTCACTCATCTGGGCCGTGGAGTATGCCGTTAGAACTGGTGGCCCATCCTTCTGTTCATGGGATCGCTGCTAACAGTAACCCCCTTGAGTGACTCCTCTTGGTCACAGGTAGGGAGGGTTCTCTACACCAGTCATTATGAATCTTCACCATATATTGCTGTACTGCTCTCCAAAACGATTGTACTAATTTCTTCCTCACTGCCAGTGAAGGAGCATGAAACGGTGGCATTGCATTCAAATTTTCAAAGGTTCTGAAAGCATTAAGAATAAATAAGCTATCATCTCTCTTGCACATTTGTACTATTCCAAATGCCCACAAGTTTGTGTGTGCGCACATACATACCTAAGCACAATAGATTCATCATTTTTTGATGAATATTGCTACTTGTGCATGCAGCTTTCTTTTTCCAAGTTTGATTTCCTGATGGCAAATATTTACCTCACAGGATTCTTCCAGCCATGGGCTCTAAATGGTCTGTAGGTGCCAAACTCTTGCAGTGGTATCTTTATTAACAGGTCTTTATTTATTCATGATCTGGAAGGATATAGCCACGGTGTTCAGAGAGCTACGTCGACAATAACTTTTCCTCTGTGCTTTGAAGACACTCTCTTGTGTCTCTGTCTTGACTGGTCTTCTTGACGAGTCTCCTGTCAACCTATTTTTATTTTCTTATGTTTCCATCTTGCTTTCTGATGGCTTTTCAGGTCTTCTCTTTTGATGTGATGTTCATTTTGTAGTCTGGATAGCATGTTTCAGGTGAGGGATTTATGTTCATTTCTCCCATGCTAGACTGTTCTTCAATTTGAAGATTTGGGTCTTTCACCAATTCTGGAAAATTCTCCACGTTTACATTTCATCAGATTGATTGTCTGTCTACCCATCTTCCTGTTCTTTTCCCCTGAAATTCACATTGATAGATTGAACAGCCTCTTTTTATCCCCCATGACTGGTTATATTTTCTTTTCCACCTTTCCATGATGTCATCCCCATAGTTTCCTTGAACTGCTCTTCCACTCTTCCAGCTCCAGTCACCAACACACACACACACACACACACACACACACACACACGTTGCTTAATACATTGAGAATCTCAACGGCAGTGAAGAGTCTGCCCATGTGGTTCTACTTTGTTTATCCCAAATCCCTTTCTGTTTTTCATAGTCGTGTGTGCTTCTGGGCAGGGAGAGTGCCTTACTTTGTGACTCTAATGACTTTTAAGGCACTCGGGTTGTCCATTTATGCTCTCTGGTTTGGGAAGCTCCAGTCCTCTGGTGCGTTGTCCCTGGCCCTCGGTGAGGGTTGCGGGTGTCTTCCTGGGTGATGGGAATCACTGGAGCAGTGCCTTATTGTTATTATCCTGAGGACTCCTGCCGAGGCTCTCCAGGAACCCATGGGCATTCATGCCTGGGAACATTCTGTTAGTTCTTGCTCATTGTTCTGGATCCCGTGGGTTGTTTAACCTCCAGCTTCTTTTTACCCTCGATACCAGAGGGCGGAATGGTTTCTCTGGAGCATCTTTTCACTGGGGGGGGGGGCTTCTGAGCTCTTCCTCTCTGGACCCCGATTTCCTGCCTCCCACTGGTCCCCGGGCCCCACCCCACTCAGCGAGGTCACTGACACCCAGGCCCTAGAAGTTTGGGTGGACTCCACCCCTCCTCACCCACCCTGAATCGCGGAGTTCCTCCAGGAGTTTTATATTCTGACTTTCAGTTTGTTCTTCATTTTTGCCTCTTTGGATTTTCTCTTTCTCAAAAGTTCAACTGCGTTTACTTTTTAGAAAACCTCCGACCGTTTGTAACCAGTCCTTCTAGGTGCGGAAGGTTTTCTGTGCTGTTATCCTGCTACATTCCTGAACGGAGCTGGCACTGACTTCGCACACCCAGAACTTGGACCTGATTCCAGTGATAGATCAATGGCTTCCTGCATCACTGGGAGCAGACTTCCCAAATGGCCCTCAGGAACGCCATCACTGAGAGGAAATGAACCAGCAGACCCAGCTTCCATTTATATGAAGAAAAAAAGCCACTTCCCTTCTCCACCATTTTTCTTATAACTATCCTCTTAACAAATATTTGTTAGGAATGCAGTAAAACCCAAGCCTCACCCTGTGGGTACAGACCGGATGCCCTCACCCGCACTAAGAAACTGATATCCATGTCGTGGGGATCGACGATTCAGAGAAGGTGAGCTATGGAGGAGGGAAGAGTGGCGCTGAGTGTGGAGAGGCTGGAGTTTGGGGGACAGATCCCCCAAAGAGGGCATAGCTCTTGAGAGCCTTGTTCTTCCCTGGGCACATGGAAGGGGGAACCAGAAAGCTGCCTGAGAGGAGACCGCGGGCTCCCTTTAGCAAGTGCAGGGTGAGGGCAGTGGAGTGTCTTACCTGGGGAGAACATTGCCTGGGCACGGAGCCCTCCGTCCACGGAGCCTCTGGGGTATTATGTTGCTTTTGTCTCATGCCAGCCACACACTTAATTGCTCTGCAGCTCCAGGGCTTGACGGATCCTGCCTAACCCACTCTCTCCTGAGGTCTTGGCTGCTGTCCAAAAGATCCACAGAACACCACAGAGTGCCGGCAGGGTCAGCCCTGCACCGTGCCCCA